TATATATGACATGACCGATAATAACTCAGAAGTCAGGAACCACTTGTCCGATTTGCCTCAAATTTTTTCAAGGAAACTCGGTCAAACCAAGGAAATTTAACAATAAATCTTATGTACATTATACACTCATAAAGAGTTAGGTCTGAAACTACCGTAGGTCGATGAAGACGTCATGTCCACATGGTTTGCAGTTTGTAGGATAAACCACCATCCCAATGAAAAACTCACAGGACCTTACGTAAGTTGAATAAACCTGTTAATATCTAAATCTTTTTTGGTATTATCTCGTTTGCAAGGAGAATGAAGAACCATGCATGCCCAATTAGAGCATACGAATTTAGTTATGACTTACGATTGATGAAGCACCCTGCCAATAATGAACTCTTTGGAGAAAATCGTTTTCATTTTTCAAACCTTGATACATTGAACCATACTCTTCTCTCTATACCCTGATATCCATCCTATATCTTACACCTCAACCAATCATTTGTTATACGTGTTCATAGATAGTAAAGTATCTAGCAGCTAACTGTATATATATATTTAGATAGATAAATAAACAAATGTTCATAGATAGTAAAGTATCTAGCAGTCAATTGAAGTTCTTAAAAGGGAATTAAAGGGACTGTAAACATAATTTCAAGTGACATCCCGGATTTACAACGGTATCCTTTAAACCTTTGATTGGTCATTGAGAACAAAAATTCACACGTCCATTAGCGTCTGATCAGGGTTCACTTACGTGCTTGGTGAGTACCTGGACCAATAGAATTGCAACGGCGGCAAGATCTATATATCTATTATATCTTTGTATTCAAATCTTATAATCTAGTTAACTAGACCCATATGCAAAGGAGTTGAGTTTTTGCCACAAACTCCAATTTTCTAATCACTTTATCTTTGCAACCGGGTGCTATAAACCTTTTATATTTCAAACTTAGAATATGCGATCTGTCAGAATTCTAAGTTTGAAATGTCAAAAGCCTACAAGAACGGGTTGCAGAGATACAAGGATTAAAAAATCTGAGTTTTTGGCAAAAACTCAACTCCTTTAATAAAATGCTTTACTTATATCGAAAATACGGTGCGGACAACGTTGAGTATTATATAGTTTATAGATATATCTTTATATATATACATATATATAGATATATATATATATATATATATATATATAGTAATAATCTCTGTTTCTTTTGTTGCATGTCCGATCATAACTCGTGAACCTTTTGACTGATTTGCCTCAAATTTTGACTGGGGAACTCGAAATTTGACCACAAATTCAATTCACAAGAAGCTTGGCTTAATAATTCCAAGTTGAATTGTTTGACATAAATTGAGAAAGTTTAATGTTCAAGCAAGGCTGGGTTCCCAAGCTCATATCGTATATCTAAAAACTAAAGCTCTTCGCTCACATATATATTAATATATATGTGAGCGAAGAGCTGGCCAAACGGCTAGACCAAATTGAAGGGCACCCAGGGCACTCCAGCTAAAATAATGATTTAATACCGTTTGCGGGTAAAACTACGATTAATGAATAATAATATGAACCTGGCCAACGCCGGGCACTCCAGATAGTATATATATAAATATATAGTTCTATGGTTAGGAACTGGACAAAGAAAGAATGATGGTGGGATGTGAGGTTTGACACCGGGTATATATAGTTCCTGGCTAGTTCATACACCCTTGGGACATCAGATAGGTAGATAGGAGTTAGATAGATAGAAATATAGATAGATAGATAGATAGATAAATATATATAAATATATTGTTAGATAGAAGTTAGAATGGGTGGATAGATATATTTTAAGATAGAAAGATATATGGATGGTAGTTAGACTTACAGATAGAACATTAAATATAAGATAAATAATAAGCTAGGTATATCGACAGATAGTATAAACAGACACAGGTATATAGTAGATGAATAGATAGACAGATGTTTATAAATGGACAGGATATATATAGATGGATAGACAGAAAAGATAGATTGATAGATAGATAAAAAGATAGGCATTGGTTTATACTATAGGATAGATAAATAAACAAATGTTCATAGAAAGTAAAGTATCTAGCAGCTAACTGTATATATAGATATTTAGATAGATAAATAAACAAATGTTCATAGATAGTAAAGTATCTAGCAGCTAACTGTATAGATATTTAGATAGATAAAAAGATAGTAGATAGAAGAGGAGGGTTCCTTTAAATAATACGTGGACTGTCTCTTTAAACATGTCAAAATTCTGGAAAATTTATTAAAACAGTCGAACTTAAAAACTGAATCAATAAGATCTTCCCATTTTATTTTTTTATTGTCTTGTATTTCCCCCCAACCATCTCCAATCTCCATCCTGGTCCCTCCTTTTCTTATTTGCCTCCTCCTTTTCATCTCCTTCCCTCATCCCCCCCTTTTCCTCCGCCTTAAAAGTAATGTCCCCTCAACTTCCATTTTGCACTGTTATCTTAAAGCTTTGATGTTGAATAGAATTGATAGAAGAGATCATGGTGAAGTATAGAAGTTTACACTTTCCTACTTTATTTCCTACATTCCAAAGGAGCTCAGATTCAATCAGTTAAAGTCCAGAAATATATAGTTTAGATTACAACAATTATCTTTATCCTTCAAAATCCAGCAACACTAAATTATGACACAAGATACCGAAAACAAAATTGCGCTAATAGCAAAAAACGAAAATGGTGTCGGATTCTCTTAAAAATATATCGCGTTGCCAAAACCAAAATGGCGTCCGGTCCATCTGTTAAAACTATTTAAAATGGCTGAACTGCTCCATTTCACCCTTGACATATTCTAAGTTAGTGTTGATTGTCTAGATTATGCCCCTAGCTTGTTAGACCCTGTATTAGAACAAATAGACCACTTGCATAATTTTACGAGGAAACTATGGAGATTTTAATCCTCAATATGTGTGGAGTAGAATTCACCAGGGGTGTAGCATTTTAACACTCTGTATTGGGAGAGAATAGAGATCAGGGGTGTAAACAAGTACAATTCTAGCATTATTAAGTCTCCTTTTTTCCCCTTTCACAAGAATTGAGCAATTATAATCAACATTTTTATTATTTTTGAAGAAAATTGGTTTATCCCAAGGAAATAGTTTACCCCTTAATTTGCTAACCAAAAAAGGCACACTGTTACAACTACAAAATTCTTGGTTAAATCTATGAAAGATGGAAGAAAGAAATATTTGTACATATAATTATTAACAAGAAGACCCATAAAACTGTGTAGCTTGAAAATCTACTTATTAAGTGAAATAGGTCCCTAGACACCATATATTGTTGTGTTTTATGTTCCTTGGACTGGTTAAAATCAAAACATCAGTTAAGTCATCTTTCTATTACACAATTTTATGGAGATCACTATATATATTCCCTTTTATTATTTATGCTACAGTGTGTACCACAAAACGTAAGAGACAAGTTGAAGATTACCTTTAATCTTTGAGATAATTTATTGCATCCATTATTCAACAATATTTAACAAGAAAAGCAATTAATTACCTTTAATCTTTGAGATAATTTATTGCATCCATTATTCAACAATATTTAACAAGAAAAGCAATTAATTACCTTTAATCTTTGAGATAATTTATTGCATCCATTATTCAACAAAATTTTACAAGAAAAGCAATTAATTCTCTAAAAATTTTGTCGGAAAAAAACCTGATGATATACAGGATCTACCTACAAATGATGAGACTTTAGAGACGATTGTACAACATGTGTTCATTTGTTTTCCTTTAACTTTAATCGTATTGGTCTCTTCGCCTAATCATGTATTACACATATAAAAGTACGTCAGAATTAAAGAATTAAGGTCATCATTAAAATATCTTCCTTTGTGGGTAACCCTGTAGTGTATATAGTTGAGAAGAAAATTCATTGAAAAACAGCTTGAAAATATAACAGATTTTTTTACAAGATTAGGTATTATTGTAGAAAATGTATTATATTTCAGCCTGAAAACGTGCAGATAAATGATCTGAAGATGTTTCTGAAGCATATAGACTGGTTATAATTTTGTCCAAGATTTATTGAAAACTGAGCTGGGAACTCATGTATTGTGGGTAGCAAGATCAATGATTGTTTATCTACAGTTTAATTTTATCTTAATTCATTTTGGTCTGTTTATCTGATCTTCTAATTTTATTTGCTAATAAAGGGAAATGTGAAAATTTGCATATAAAGCCAATTTAGTTTAATCCTTGCAAAAAGAACTTTTTCCAAAAGATTCAACATAAAAATTTAGTTTGATCCTGGACATTCAGATTTGAATATATATATATATATA